GTAGAAACGGGAGAGTTTAAGTTTAGAGAGATGAGCCCTGTGTACAACCTTAAACTGCAACAAGGAGTGGCGGGCACATAGGGAGGGAGAGGTAACAAGTTTAAGAATTGAATTCCAAGTATCATCCGACAGTGACAAATTTAAATCCTCCTCCCAAGCAGTTTTAATTTTACACAAAGGGGTGTAACTCGAACCCATCAGTCCACCATAAATAGTGGATATTAGGCCTTTACGCAACGGGGACAGACAGAGGAGATTATCTAGAATATTTGCAGCAGGAACCTCAGGGAAATTTGGTATTAAAGAGCCAATGAAGTGTCTTACTTGCAGGTATCTGAAAGTGTGAGAACTGGGCAGGTTAAACCTTTCAGAAAGCTGTTCAAACGATGCAAACCTATGATCGACAAACAGATCTTTGCAGAGGTTGATGCCCTTATTGTACCATTCCTGAAACACTGAATCATGTAAAGAACGTTGGAAGAGATGGTTAGAGATGATAGGACTGGAAAGAGAAAAGCCCAGAAGACCACTGTGCTTTCTGAACTGAGCCCAAACTCTCAAGGTATGCCTAATAACTGAATTGTTGATTGATTCATTTGAGGAGATGGGGAGTGCAGATCCAAGGAGTGCAGAGATAGAGAGATTTTTTTACAGACTTTATCTCCATTTCCACCCTGGCAGGCCGTTTAGGTTGGTTATGAAAATATGACCAGAAAATGACAGATCGTATGTTTGCTGCCCAGTAGTAAAAACGAGGATTAGGCAGAGCCATGCCACCATCTCTCTTAGATCTTTGAAGTAGGTACTTATTCAATCGTGGATACTTACCTTTACAAAGGTAAGAAGATATAATTGAATCTAAAGCACCAAAGTAAGATTTGGGAATAAAAACAGGTACAGACTGGAAAAGATATAAAAATTTAGGAAGGATACTCATTTTAATGGCATTAATGCGGCCCACCAGGGACATGGACAGTGGTGACCATTGTCCCAAGTCCTTTTTTGTTTGGTTCAACAATCTAATAAAATGTTCTTTAAAAAGGTGTTCATGCTTCTTTGTAATCGTAATACCAAGGATATGTAAACTGATTTTCCACATGTTGAAAGGAAAGTTGTGCATACCGGTTATTAGTGCTGTAATATTTAGCAGAAAAAGTTCACTTTTGTGCAAATTCAACTAATGTCCTGAAAAATAAGTAAATTCACTAAGCAATGACAGCACAGGTGGCAGGGAGGAGATTGGATTTGATATAAAAAGTAAAAGGTTGGCTGCGGCTTCCCCTGGGCAGGGCTCGGACAGAGCGGCGGCGGCTTCCCCTGGGCAGGGCTCGGACAGTGGACACAAGAGACCCTTGGCCCAATCCATCAGCCGGTGACTGAGGGTCTCCAGCCCATCCTCCCCCTCAACAGGCGTCGTAACCAGAACACCTGGAGGCAGGCGGGGGAGAACTGGAACCTCTAAAGGCAGAGGCTCCACTGCTTCAACTGCAGGGGTTTTCCTCCCCTTTCTAGGCAACTTGTGGACTCGTGGGATGGCATCCACAGGAGACCTGGAACATTTAAAAGCCAGGCGGGTGCCAAAGTAGGCACTCTGGGAACAGACGTTGCCAAGCCAGGGTGCGTCAGGAACAGGAACAGGTCCAGGGGGTGAGTGCTCCAACTGGAGCACTGCAGGGCCAGTAGCTGGTGCTAGGGAGACATATCCCAGCATGAGGGGTGTTGTGGAGCCTGGGGATCATCCTTTGGAGTGGTTCATTCTCTCATGAATGCAGGCGGCTCGGGCACGGGAGCGCGGCATGGTGCAGGCACGGAAAGGATGGCGGACGACCCACTTGCAGCTCAAGACAGAAGGGGTTTATTATTAACTAAAACAGAAGACACTACAAAACCAAAGAAACCAAAAGGACCACAGGGGGTCAAACTCTAAAGGGAATAAACTTAGACTAAAACACAAAACCAAATACACATCAAAACACTGAAAATAGCGGAACCATCAAAGAACACACAACAACACAATCAATCAACATCATAGACAATGAACCACTAGAGAACAGAACAGAAGCAGGGACTTAAATACAGAAA